ATACAAAATGGTACACCGTGAATATACAAGGGTTTCATGCATGAAAATCAAGGCGGATCACACTGAGAGCTACAAGGGCTGCCTGTAATTCAGACACTGTAATTCAAGATCTACATTTAGTACATAAAGCCTTAACCTTAAACAATATTGGCTCAATCTATATAAGTCATTGTTTGGTGTCTCATCTCTCGTTAGGGCACTTGTCCTCAGCAAATTGGAACCGATGACAGACCCGTATTATATTTTTGAGCAGAAAGGAGCCAGGGCCTTAAGAAGTGGTCCTCCTTCTAATATGACATGATATAACAGTAATTTGTGTATTATTCATATATTTGAGAGAAGCACAGTCAAATATGACAGGGAGCCAGGAACTCTTGTGTTTTCAACCTGGTGCTAACATTGATTCAGTATATGCTTATGCTGTGATTTAATTGCTGCTGTATTTGGACACCTAGAGCCTTGGATAGGTATCTTTTTACTAAAAAAATATCTTTGGGCAAGTCGCTTAGGCCAAAATGTTGACACTTGTGCTAAAAGTGCAACACCTAAACACATATTTAGGCAACTGTATGAGTGGCCTCATTTGAAAAGGTGCCGAGCAACTACTGAAGTCAATGGAATATGTGAGTGTTCAGCAACATTGAAAATCAGACCACTTATTTAGGCATCTAGATATAGATTTAGGGGGAGATTTTCAAAGTCACAAAGACAGTTAGATGTCCATGGCCCACTAAAAACCAATGGGAGCTGGGTGCCTAGCTTCCAAAATCTCCTCCCGAGGTGCCTAATTTTAGTTATCTGTGTTGCAAAATATTAGATTCATAGCACAATAGGGCTAGAAGGAACCGCAAGGGTCATCTAGTCCAACGCCCTGCCAAGATGCAGGATTGTCATTAATCTCTGTGTCCCAGGTTTCTTGTCTGGCCAATGTGGCTGAATGTTTCAAAAGCTTGTGCCTAAAATTAGGCATTTAGATTTATATTTAGGTTCTTAGCAGAAGGGCCTAATTTCCAGAAGTGCTGAGCACCCACAGCACCCACTGAAATCCAGTGTGAACTATGGGTTTTCCAACACCTCCAGGCTTCAGGCCACTCAGTTAAGAACCTAAATATGAATTTACCCATCTACGTTTGAAAGTTTGAGCTGACAATAAATTACTTTCACCTACTGGAGGAGGAGGATTGTGAGGATTAATTCATGAATGATCGCAAAGAGCCTTGAAGAGAGTAAGCAGTATATAAGTGCTAAGCATTTTCATTGGTACCTTTTCCTCAATTGGGTAGTTTCATTACCATAGTTTGTACTATTTGTATATATTATTTATGATATTGTCAGACACCCAAGAACCTTAGGGCATGGGATGCCTTTATAAATAGTCATTTAATATTTATTTTAAATTTAAAATTAAGGACTAGATGAGAAAGAGGAATAATAAAGAAGAACTGTGTTGCCATAGTCAATGGCTTACATTTGTATAGCATCTCTATTATTACCAATTACACTTTTAAAAGCACAAGTCATAATTCTGGCACTGTTTCTCATTAAAATGAAGCATTCATTTGACAGCCCTGGGCATGTTTTATGTCTTTAGCAAGAAAGAATTCCTGTATAGCTTGCTGATTTCTCCGTGTGACATTAAGTAATAGCATTCTCATCTTGTCTCCCAAGGGTTCATCTTGTACGAACATCCTTGTCTTCCAATGGCATGACAAAGAATAAAGGGGAGGAGGGACAAAGAAGAAGAAGAAAGGATAAAAGAGTATGACAGGAAATATGATGAGGAAGCAGCTCTTCCTTTTTGATTCAAATGCTTTTACTGTTTGTATGCCAACATTTTGGTACATTTGTTTTTATAAGTCAATTTTCATTACACAATGATCACTATATTTTTTTCCCTTCAGCTACGTATCTTCATATAAGAAGAAAATGTATGGCCTGAGTATGCTCTTATTTGCACTAGTGTAAATCCGAAGTAACCCCATTGTAGACACTGGAGATATACTGATGTCAAGCCGGTGTAAGCGCAAAGAGAATAGGATTCTTTCATTTACACTGTTACTATTGCATATGCAAGTGTCACGAAAATGCAACTAGAGTAGGCATCATAACATAATCCCTCCAGATGCTCTGCTCAGGGAATTCCTCAACGAGCTCAGCAGGAGTTCCATAGTAGAGTAGAGGTATGATCGGACAGGCTCATGATATGCACTGTGACAATGCATATATTGATGCCATAGGCAGGTATATCTGCAAGAGACTTCCAGTGCCTGCACATTGGCTGGGATTTTCAAAGGGGCCTAAGGAAGTTAGGTTCCTAACTCCCATTGAAAGTTGATGGAAGCTGGTGCCTGATTCCCTCAGATCCCTTAGAAACTGCCAGGGCTGATGTATTAAAGCATTGGCTGGGTTCTTTGTGGGCTTACATTACAACCCACTGTATTTACATGCTCATAACTTTTGAACAAATTCTCCCTTTGGACTTGGTTATTCTCGGTCCAACTTTCCAGTCCAAACTTCCATTCTTCTTCTAAGCTGAATGGTGAATTTTTGTTGGGAAGTTTACTTATAAACCATTGACTGTTTCTGAATTGTCTGACTGTGAAAAATCAGATTCTTCTTCTGCTGTGAAAAAGATGTAAAGGTTTAGTTTTTATGCCTGGTGGGAGGGCACTCATCCAAAGCAGGAGAAGGAAAGGGAGGAGACTAAGGATTTGATCCAAAGCTCCCTAAAGTGAATGGAAAGATTCCCGTTGACTTCACTGGCTTTGGATCAGGCCCTATGGGAGTGTTACACAAAATGTGAGTCAGGACTCCAAATGGGGTTCTGCCTTCAGCAGATGGGGTCATGGTGATCCCTAGTCTATGAAGGATGCCATTTTGCTCTTCATAGCATGATCTCACATGTATGGTGTGTGTGTGAGAGGTCATGATGCATGGAGGATGGCATTTTGCTCTACAAAATGGCATCCTCCATGCGGCGTGACCCTGTCCATATGGTGCGTGCACTGTCGTACTATGTGTAGGATGCCATTTTGCTCTTCAAAATGGTGTCATCCATGCTATCTGAGGTCCTGGTAGGAAATACTTAATTAAAATGGGGTCGTGCCAGCAAAAGTTTGAGAACCCCTGATGTATGGGTAGGGAGGATGTGGGACTGATGGCAAAGGAGGGAGAAAAGAAACTCAGCTCACATCGCTCAATGTACTGTGTTCATCTTAAGGGTTCTAAGGATTAAAGCAGATATGTAACTGCTTAACTATAGATCTTATACCTAGATCGCACTGAGCCTTGTTAGGTGCAAGAACCAAGGTGGCAAGGGAAAGGTCACTATAAGCCACCTTTCTGGTTTCCTGATCCTTGGCTTGAATGGGGGCCGAACTGACCTAACGGCTGCTCTAACTTACACAGGCTAGAGCATCCTTTCAGGACCTCTCCTCTGGCTGGTGAGCATGTGCATAGAGTCTAATATGGTTCCACCCCACCAAACCTCCTGTGATGCTTTCACCCACATACAAACACTCCAGCTTCCCTCCTCCCTTTCCCAACTGAGCAGGGGGAGAGCAGGTGGCAAAGACTTACAAGTTTTACAAGGCCCAGGTCTTACATAGTTTCCATCAAGAAAAAGGGCTATTCATAACTGGGAAAAATAATTTTCCATATTTAAAAAAACACTTTTCTCTGCTGCAAAATAAAACAGAAGTTTCCTTTCTGGAGACATGCCAGAAATCTATGCACTCTGGAGGAATTAGTGACAAGCGGGAATATACACACACTATATATACACATGCGTAAAGACGTGCTGCCAGACATACTGAAGAATAGCAGCTCATAGTAAGAAATTATTTCATAGACAGCTCAGTCTTCTAAAGAAATAGTAACGGTAATACAATAATCTGCTGCAAAACATATTTTAAAAGTGCATATTTCTTTAAACTTCTGCACATGTTACTAGGGCAAATTTCTATTGAATTGTCACTTAAATAAACATTTTAATTTGAAAAACAGAAGTGTTTTCATGAAACATCTGCTTCTTACTGCCATGATACATAGTTTCATTTGGACATACCACAATAAGAATTATGTGTATATCTGAATGAAAGCCACATGTGGATTAACTGTAAAACACAATCTGATGTTCTTTCAACAGTATTTTTTCACTGAAACTACAATAAAATATACTTTCTACTGAGATCTGTTACTGTAAAGGGAAGAAAGGATGGTCCCGAGGCTATGTCATGAACCTAAAACTTGGGAAAATTGTGTTCCTGCTCTGCTACAGACTTGCTCTCCTTTAGACTTTCTGTGAGACTTTGGGCAAGTCACTTAGTTTCTCTGGGCCTCAGTTGAGAACCTATAAAATGGGGATAACAGCGCTTTCCTACCTCCCGGGGTGTTATGAGGATAAATAGATTAAAATCTGTGAGGTGCTCCAATACTGTGTTAATGGGGGAGGGAGATATAAGTAACTAAGATAGATGAAAGGGAAGGGGACTTTTCCAGATCAATTATAACTAAAAACAGCAAATTTTGTTTTTCCTGAGGCACCATCAGTGTGTGTGTGTGTGTGTATACATATATTTCTTCAGAAAAAAACATTTTCTTTAATTTTTAATATGTTCTCATCAGAATGTAGGGAGATGGATACTGAAAAATATTCTGGAAAACATGAGTCATATAATTGTTTAGTTAACTTTTCTTTAGATAAATTATGTTGGAAACAAATAAAGAACATTGCTGAGAACATGGATTTCTGACAAATAGTCTTCATTTGCCTAAAAGTAAAAAAAAATCCTTTCAAAGTCTATTGCTAAACTTTGTTTCTTCAGTATTGTGTACGCATTAATATTTTAACAGTGCCAACAGCATAAACATCTCATGAGAATATCATGAAATCATCACAGTATGGCCTGAAAACAATTCTGTGATCTTATTGAATATTTCTTGTAAAATAAATATCAGACTCATGGAATTACTATAAAAATAAAACTTAGCTGACTTACAGATACGGTAACAAGCAGGTAACTTCCACAGACTCTCCAGTCAGTCAGAATCTGCAAAGATGCAGGTGATCAGGCTATGATATCGCAAACTGTGAATTACTAGCTCAGATATTATAGATGTAGACAGATAGCAATTATAATTCTGTAGTTTGATATAGTTAACTCAAGGTAAAGGCCTTGATTACAGTATGATAATTAATCCTCACTAAAAGCAGAAACTTTTCTCTGTCTCTCCTTTTGTTGCAGTCCCAAACTCTTCTGACTGTCATAAATAAGACATGTTCCAAGATGCATAATCAGGTTGCGTATTACTCCATATCCTATTTCAAAACATGATCTTATCCAGGATTCAGACTCATTGGTTAAAAAGTAACAAACGCATTGGGTATTCTGTGTAAGCTTTCCTAAAACACTTGCAATCTTTCAGCTGATGTTTACTCTTTGTTCAATGAAATTTGAAACACTTTTACCTGTGCTTGGATTACCTACATATGTTGGAATACACATGATGCTATCATTTACAAGCCTTTTAAAAGATGCAGAAACATTGCTTTCTCTTAGAATTAGTCTCCTGAAAGCATACATCAACAGTTTAAGGCTGGCTTACAAACCTTTGTAACTCTACTAAATAGACTAGATAGTGGAGGTGGGAGTGTTGTTATTCCTGAGTAAAACAAGTAAATATCTGCAAGATATAAATGAACGCAGGCACATGTGGCTGGCCTAATGGCTTGGCTCTTGCAATGAGCAGCCATATGGAAGATTTGCATGAATTATGCTCAAAACATGATGATGCACCTTACATTGCTTCTGAGAACATCACTAATGATATGCATAGAACAGCATAGGGTTGCCAACTTTCTAATCACACAAAACCGAACACTCTTGATCCCCCCCTCCTCCAAGACCCCACCCCTGCCATGAGTCCCCACCTCCCACTCACTCCATCTCCCCTCCCTCCTTCGGTCGCTCTCCCCCACCCTCACTCATTTTCATGGGGATGGGGCAGGGCGTTGGGCTGTGGGAGGGGGTGCAGGCTCTGGCTGGGAGTGTGGGCTCTGGGGTGAGGCCAGGGATGAGGGGTTTAGGATGCAGGAGGGGGCTCAGAGCTGGGACAGGGGGTTGGGGTGCGGGAGGGGGTGTGGACTCTGGGAGAGAGTTTGGGTGCAGAGGGGGCTCAGGGCTGGGGCAGGGGGTTAAGTTGCGGGGGGAGGTGAGGGCTCCAGCTAGGGGTGCGGGTTCTGGGGTGGGGCTTGGGATGAGGTGTTTGAGGTGCAGGAGGGGACTCTGAGCTGGGGCCGAGGGTTCACAGGGTGGGAGGGGGCTCCGGGCTGGGACAGGGGTTTGGATGTAGGAGGGGTGAGGATTCTGGGAGGGAGTTAGGGTGCAGAAGCGGGTTCGGGGTGCGGACTCCGACCAGCAGCGCTTACCTCAGGCAGCTCCCAGATGCGGCCAGCATGTCCAGCTCCTAGGCAGAGGGGCCAGGGGGCTCTGCACACTGCCCGCGCCCACAGGCGCCACCCCCACAGCTCCCATTGGCTATAGTTCCTTGCCAGTGGGACCTGCAGAGCCGGAGCTGAGGGCGGGGGCAGCTCATGGAGTCCCTGTGGCCACCCCTGTGACTAGGAGACAGACATGCCAGCTGCTTCCAGGAGCCGCGCAGAGCCAGGACAAGCAGGGAGCCTGCCTTAGCCTCACTGCTCTGCCGTCCAGACTTTTAGCGGCCCAGTCAGCAGTGCTGACCGGAGCCACCAGGGTCCTTTTCTACCGGGCATTTCGGTCAAAAACTGGATGCCTGGCAATCCTAGAACTGCAATACAATATCTTCATAAACTCTCTGTATTCCTAGCTATAGATATGCAAAATAGCTTTAATGATTTGGGGCTGTAGGATGGTTTTAAAAGGAAAGGAAAACAGCAGCCCAAAGTGACAGGGTGGGAAGCTTACCACTACCAGACTACTCAAACTAACTTGACATCCTTTGTCATTGCCTTGAAAAGGCAGATAACACAGCATGTCTTAGGTCAAGGACAAGAGAGAAATACTGTGAAAGTTCGGTCTCATCAAACCTTTCCCCCCACCCCCCCACATACACTATTTTTATGGCGGATTAATGTAATATTTATGGGTAATCTCTCAATGAATAGAAAAATGCAGAACTAAGGTTAATTAAAGAATTTGTAACCATTTGATAATGCCATAATAAGGGTATGTCTACACTACGAAATTAGGTCGAATTTATAGAAGCCGGTTTTATAGAAATTGGTTTTATACAGTCGATTGTGTGTCCCCCCACATAAAATGCTGTAAGTGCATTAAGTCGGCGGACCGCTTCCACAGTACCGAGGCTAGCGTCGACTTCCGGAGCGTTGCACTGTGGGTAGCTATCCCACAGTTCCCGCAGTCTCCGCCGCCCATTGGAATTCTGGGTTGAGATCCCAATGCCTGATGATGCAAAAACAGTGTCGAGGGGGGGTTCTGGGTACATGTCGTCAGGCCCCTCCCCCTCCGTCAGAGCAATGGCAGACAATCAATTTGCGCCTTTTTACCTGGGTTACCTGTGCAGACAACATACCACGGCAAGCATGGAGCCCGGTCAGCTCAGCTCACCGTCACCATATGTCATCTGGGTGCCGGCAGACATGGTACTGCATTGCTACACAGCAGCAGCTAATTGCCTTTTGGCAGTAGACGGTGCAGTATGACTGGTAGCTGTCATCGGCTATCTGGGTGCTGGCAGACATGGGGCTACATTGCTATACAGCAGCAGCTCCTTGCCTTTTGGCAGTAGATGGTGTATTACGACTGGTATCCATCGTCGTCGTATTCCTCAGTGAGTTCGATCAGAGGCACCTGGGCAGACATGTTTTGTCTCCTGGAGACTCAGTCCTGCCCGCAGTCCTATTGAACCGTCTCGACGATGATGGCTAGCAGTCGTAGTACAGCATCTTCTGCCAAGCACCCAGAAGATGCCGATGGCTATCAGTCATGCTGCACCGTCTGCTGCCAGCTTAAGATGTAAAAAATAGATGGACCAGATTTGTTCTGTATTCATTTGCTTCCCCCTCCCTCCGTGAAATCAACGGCCTGCTAAACCCAGGGTTTTGAGTTCAATCTTTGGCGGGGCCATTCTGTGTGGCAGTTGTTTGTGTTTCTCCCTGATGCACAGCCACCTTTGTTGATTTTAATTCCCTGTACCTGTAAGCCATGTTGTCACTCGCCCCTCCCTCCCTCCGTCAGACAATAGTTTCGCACCTTTTTTCAGCCCAGACGCCATAGCACTGGGATCATGGAGCCCGCTCAGATCACCGCGGCAATTATGAGCACTATGAACACCACGCGCATTGTCCTGGAGTATATGCAGAGCCAGAACAGGCCAAAGCAAAACCAGGCGAGGAGGCGATTACAGCGCGGCGACGAGAGTGATGAGGAAATTGACATGGACATAGACCTCTCACAAAGTACAGGCCCCAGCAATGTGCAAATCATGGTGTTACTGGGGCAGGTTCATGCCGTGGAACGCCGATTCTGGGCCCGGGAAACAAGCACAGACTGGTGGGACCGCATCATGTTGCAGGTGTGGGACGATTCCCAGTGGCTGCGAAACTTTCGCATGTGTAAGGGCACTTTCATGGAACTTTGTGACTTGCTTTCCCCTGCCCTGAAGCGCCAGAATACCAGGATGAGAGCAGCCCTCACAGTTGAGAAGCGAGTGGCGATAGCCCTGTGGAAGCTTGCAACGCCAGACAGCTACCGGTCAGTCGGGAATCAATTTGGAATGGGCAAATCTACTGTGGGGGCTGCTGTGATCCAAGTAGCCAATGCAATCAAAGACCTGCTGATATCAAGGGTAGTGACTCTTGGAAACGTGCAGGTCATAGTGGATGGCTTTGCTGCAATAGGATTCCCAAACTGTGGTGGGGCGATAGACGGAACCCATATCCCTATCTTGTCACCGGAGCACCAAGCCACCGAGTACATAAACCGCAAGGGGTACTTTTCAATGCTGCTGCAAGCCCTGGTGGATCACAAGGGACGTTTCACTAACATCAATGTGGGATGGCTGGGAAAGGTACATGATGCTCGCGTCTTCAGGAACTCTGGTCTGTTTCAAAAGCTGGAGGAAGGGACTTTCTTCCCGGACCAGAAAATAACCGTTGGGGATGTTGAAATGCCTATTGTTATCCTTGGGGACCCAGCCTACCCCTTAATGCCATGGCTTACGAAGCCGTACACAGGCAGCCTGGACAGTAGTCAGGACCTGTTCAACTATAGGCTGAGCAAGTGCCGAATGGTGGTGGAATGTGCATTTGGACATTTAAAAGCGCACTGGCGCAGTTTACTGACTCGTATAGACCTCAGTGAAGCCAATATTCCAATTGCTAGTGCTGCTTGCTGTGCGCTCCACAATATCTGTGAGAGTAAGGGGGAGACATTTATGGCGGGGTGGGAGGTTGAGGCAAATCACCTGGCCACTGATTACACGCAGCCTGACACCAGGGCGGTTAGAAGAGTACAGCAGGGCGTGGTGCGCATCAGAGAAGCTTTGAAAACGAGTTTTGTGACTGCCCAGGCTACGGTGTGAAACTTCTGTTTGTTTCTCCTTGATGAACCCTCCGCCCTCCCCCCCTCCCCCCTGGTTCACTCTACTTCCCTGTAAACTAACCACCCTCCCCTCCCCTCCCCCCTTTGAGCACCGCTTGCAGAGGCAATAAAGTCATTGTTACTTCACATTCATGCATTCTTTATTAATTCATCACACAACTAGGGGGATAACTGCCAAGGTAGCCAGGGAGGGGTGGGGGAGGAGGGTAGGAAAAGGACACACTGCAGTTTAAAACTTTAAAACTTTAACACTTATTGAAGGCCAGCCTTCTGATGCTTGGGCAATCATCTGGAGTGGAGTGACTGGGTGGCCAGAGGCCCCCCCACCGTGTTCTTGGGCGTCTGGGTGAGGAGGCTATGGAACTTGGGGAGGAGGGCTGTTGGTTATACAGGGGCTGTAGCGGTGGTCTCTGCTCCTGCTGCCTTTCCTGCAGCTCAACCATACG